GCACACACACACACACACACACACACACACGCACGCACGCACGCACACACACACACACACACACGCACGCACGCACGCACACACACACACACACACGCACGCACCGCTTCGTGCTCACCATGTCGTGTCTGCTGCCTGCAATCCTGATCATGACAGAAATGCTCGATGATCTGGATGACGGTATGGCGCACACACACAGCCGGCTGCGCCGTGAGAATGAACACATTGCATATGTCAGTGAGAAGGCAAAAGCAGGCGGTAAGCAAATTGCACGTGTTGCTTGTTCTTGATGTTGCGTGACACGTGAAGTTTCAGACATTGTCATGTGCATGTCACATCACGTCATTGACATCCGTTCATCAATGCACCAACCCGTCATGGCTCACCCATCTTTGCCGTTTGCTGCGTTCTCTGTTGTTTTTCCATCTGTTGCCACAGGCCTCTGCTGCACCATCTTCCTCCTTGTTGTCGCCATTGTGCTCGTGGCGGCAATACCATTCTGATGTCCGCACCCGTCATCGCACCATGACTCACCGCCCACTCATTCCCCTCTGCAAGTTGCACCCCCTTCCCCATCCCGCGCTCTGTGTGCCCGCCCTTCGCTTCTGCTCCACCACCCCGTGCTGCACACGAGCCCGCACTCATCTTGTACATCGTCACATCGGGCTTCTTTTCCCTGCCCTTCCGTGCTATTCCAAGATGCACCCACACCCTACCACCATGCACATTCCTCTTCTTGAGATTAGTTGACTCCCTTCCTTGCGTTTGCTTTGCTTGCTTGTCTGTTTGCCTGCTTGTTGCCGTGTTGAACCTGTTGAAGTTGTTGCTGCCTATGCGCTTCATGTGTCTGTTTGCCGCTTCCTTCCATGTCGCTGAGATGGCTGAGTAAAACGTGTTACATTATCTTCGTCCCAACAGCAGCATTCGAACGCGCGCACACACACACACACACACACACACACACACACACACACACACACACACACACACACACACACACACACACACCTTCTCCTTCTCTCTCTCTCTCTCAAACACCCGTACACACACACACACACACACACTCAATCACTCTCTCTCTCTCACACACACACACACGCACACATGCTTGCTTGCTACACGTATTTAATATTGGCGGGTAGGTGGGCCGAGGCACAACATAGCCCAGGCAGTGAATTTGGATGCATATGCATGGTGTCGAATAGGAGTAGGGGGAGGGGTGCAGAGATAAACCTGGGGCAACACGATTGACTATGTCCAGAGAGGAAGCGCACTATGAGGCCCTAACTGTATGTGGCTCGATAAAAACCCTCGCTACATGCTGAGCAATCAAACCGTTCCAATCAAAAAATACACGAAGCACATGCGTCAAGCATCATCCATCATCATCATCATCATCATCATCATCATCATCATCACCACCACTACCATGCCTACGAGGCCGTGGTGGCAGAGCTGACAGAGGAGACAGACGTCGACCGCGACAGTGTGCGATGCACGCGGTTCTCGACATCGCCCAGCGCGTGCACGTGTCTCGCCAGCTTGCGCAGGTGGAACACGTAGTCATTCCACGCGGGATCAAAGCGGGCCAGCACCTGCTCCCACCTGCTGCCGAGTGCAGCCAGCGCACCGCCGCCGCTGAGCTCCTCCAAGGCCGCGGCCTCGCTCAGGATACGAAGGCGCATCAGATCCTTCTGTAGGCGCCAGCACTGGCCCTTGGCAAGCGATTCCTCAAGCAGCAGCAGTAGGAGTTCGGGCGAAGCAACCTGCGCAGCGGCGCGGATGTCCAGTTGGTTGGGTTGGGTGTGTCAATGAAATGACTTGGTGAGCGGTGACATGACACATAAAGACGCATGCATACATGCCCAGAGATATGCATGACATGCAGGTAATACACATACGCACACTGATGTCTGCATACACAACACAGCACACACAAACACAAGCACACACACAAACACGAACACACACACAAATACAAATACACACACACACACACAAACACAAACACAAACACACACACACACACAAACACAAACACACACACCCGCACAATACAACACACACACACACATACAAGACACAACACACACACCAGTCGAACATACCCGCAGGATTGCGTCGAGACCACTGGTGAACTTGTACACGAGGCGGGTGGAGAGCACGCGGGAGAGGGGCTGCTTGATGCACTGCGCCACCAACTTGTCGCGGTGCTGGTCATGCGCAGTCGTGATGTCCATCAGCGTGCGGAACTTCACCTGGGCCAGCAGGCAGGAAACAGTACGCGTGTGAACGATTGGAGAAAAGAGGGTGGCACGGAGCAGGCAAACCAGGCACGCAGAATCACGAGAGCACACACACAAACAAACAAACACAAACAAACAAACACAAACAAACAAACAAACAAACAAACAAACAAACAAACAAACAAACAAACAAACAAACAAACAAACAAACAAACACAAACAAACAAACAAACAAACAAACAAACAAACAAACAAACAAACAAACAAACAAACACAAACAAACAAACAAACACAAACAAACAAACACAAACAAACAAACAAACAAAACCAGCCCAGCAAACACGAGCCAACAGTCGACCACTGCTGACCTGCACGGCCCAGCCTGCGCCGTTTGGCTTTATCCTGAGCAGCGTCGCCCCGGGCGCCTCCTTAAAGTCGGTGCGCTCCTCCTGCTCCCGAATTCGCTCCATCATGATGCCCCGCATCTCCTCGTCGAGCTCCTGCCAGTTGTGCGTGAGCGGCTCAATCGCAGCCAGCCGCTGCAGCGGTATCAGCACATCTGGTTTCTCCAGCGCCACCTGCACGCCCTTCTGCATTCTCTTCAGAATGCCGTCAGAGTCGTGGAGGGACACAAAGTCCAGGTCCTCCGTCTGCAGCGGCGGGTTGCAGTAGGCGTTCCACGCAGACGCGCCCACCAAAAACACCTCCTTCACGCCAAACGAGTACACCACCGCGTGCACGACGTGCGGCTGGATGGCAAAGATGGCCGCGTTCATGTGATACAGCAGAGGCGAGCCCGTCCCGTCCCAGCGGGGCGACAGCGTAATGGCACACGGCGGGTGCTTGCGCAACAGCTTGCCCCGCGCCTGCGCCACCTGCATCTGCAGCACGTGCAAGTGCTGCACATATGGGACGAGCGAATCGCGCATGGCGTACGACAGCGCCGGCGACGCCTGCGACTGCGACTTGGACGACGACGCGTGGTGCGACGTTGATGACGGCGTTGAGTGCTGGTGCTGGTGCTGCTGGTGTTGAAGGCGATGATGGGGATGAGGTTGGTGGGGAGCTTGGTATGGGTAATGCCCTGCTGCATTCGCGTACATCTGTTGCTGCGTTGCAGACACCCGCGTCAGGCTTCCGCTCAGTGAGCGTGCACCCATGCCAGCTGCTTGCCCCATCATGGCATACGCGCGCTGCTGCTGCTGTTGTTGTTGTTGTTGTTGCGCGTATACATGCGCCGGTGGGAGTGTGGGGCGGTCTGGTGAAATGCCCAGCAGCGGCTGCTGCTTGAACATTCCTGGGTCAGAGATGGTGCTCGCCCGCTTTCGTGGCGTCGCAAACCCAAACCCGTAGCAGTCGCTGTGCGTGTCATCATCAGCGCTGCCGGATCCAGCAGTGGCCTCACGCAGGCGTGAGGCAACACCACTGCCACTGGTGGTATTGCTGTTGCTGCGACCAGTGCCGCTCGCCTCACTTGCTGCATCCCCGACGACTGTTGTCACGTCCTCCTCCTCCTCCTCGTTTTCCTCCTCCGCTTCTTCACTCAGCGGCTGCTTGTCGCTCCTTCCTCGCACAGCACCGTCCGCACCACCGGCCACTGCTGCTGCCATTGCCGCTGCTGTCGATGGCGACGACGACGCCGAGTCCTCGCCACTGCTGCGCCCAAACAGCGCTCGCGCCGCCGAGCCCTTGGACATGTGTACCGCTGCCACGGCCGCCTCGCTGCCACTCCGCCCGCGCGTGAACGACGCCAGGCTGCTTGCGTCATCCGAGCCGTGGCTTGATGCAAGCGACATGCGCGAGCTGCCGCTGCGGGGCCGCTCGTCCAACGGCAGCGCTGGCTGTGGTGCTGCCTGCTGGAAGTACCCTTGCTGCACCGGGTACGCCTGCGGTTGCGGTTGGGGTTGCATGTGCTGCGGGAACTGAAACTGTTGCTGTTGCGCGGCGTGCGGGTATGTCGCTGGTATCATCTGGTGGAACGAGTGCGGCCGTGTGAGCACGGCGCCGCCCGGGCCAGTGGGCGGCGCGGTGGTTGCGGTGGGTGCTGCTGGCGGTAGCGCTGCTGGTCCCGTTGTGGCTGCGGCTGCGTGGATGAGCGGTGAGGGCGGGGCGGCGCCAGCGGTGTACGACGCCACGCTCACGGGCCGCATCACCACGTGCGAGTACCCCTGCCCGCCACCGCCGCCACCACCAACCGCATACGACGGCACCTGGCCATGCATCAGCTGTGCCTGTGCCTGTGCCTGTGCCTGCGCCTGTGCCTGTGCCTGTGTTGGGAACGAGTTCATCTGGTGGAGCAGCGGGCTTCCTGGCTTGGACGCGGCAGACGACTGGTGCAGCGTGTCCAGACTCGGCTGCCGGGTGCGTGTGGTCGTGCGCAGGCGCCGCTGCAACACGGCCACCTCGTGCTTCATGCGCTCCACCTCATCCTTGTACTGTCCGCGCTCCGTCTCCAGCTCCTGGGCTGCAGCCTTTGCCTTCTCTGCCGCGTCCTCCTTCTCCCGCTGCACCTCCGTCAGCTTCACCTGCAGGTCCTGCACCTGCCGCCCCAGCTGCGTGCGCGACCGCTGCGCCGTCTGCGCCAGGGCGTCGCGCTGCCGCTCAACATCGTGCAGCCGCTGCTGCAGTGTGGTGACCTGCTCCTGGATGTGCTGGTACTCGCCAACCGTGATGGTCACGCTCTTCTTGCTGATGCCGCGCTCCTTCTTCGAAAACCGGCCGGTGCCACTGCTGCTGGCGCTCGTGGTACTACTGCTGGTGGTGGTGGTGATGTTGCTGCCTGAAGATGCGGCCGTGCTGCCCTTGCCCTTGCTCTTGCTCTTGGTGTTTGCACTGCCTGTGGCAGACGTGTTGCTGGCGACGTCTGCTGCGGAGGACGTATCCACAAGCTCGCCCTGCCATCGCAGGGGTGGAATGGGTTGAAAAGGTGGTTATGCAATGAAAATGACAATGGTGGTGGCTGTGGTGGTTGTGGTGGGCGGTTGTGGCGCAGAACACAGTCAACAACCAGCACAAGATCCATTTTCAGCCACACTGTCAAACATACTGGTAAGCGTGTCAAACGCACTGACATACACACACACACACACACACACACACACACACACACACACACACACACACACACACACACACACACACACACACACACACGCACGCACGCACGCACGCACACACACACACACACACACACACACACACACACACACACACACACACACACACACACACACACACACACACGCACGCACGCACGCACGCACGCACGCACGCACGCACGCACGCACGCACAAACATACAAGACACACCCACATCCACATACACGAACAACACACACGCATACAAAAGCATACAAGACACGCACACAGACACGCACACACAGACACGCACACACAGACACAGAAGGACAAGCACGCACACACAGACAGCACCACACCTGGTCGTCGATGGGGGCAACACCACTTGAGCGGCGCCCTGACTTCTTCTTCTTTTTCTTCTTCTTCTTCTTCGACCCGCCCTTGTCCTGTGCATCGTCATCACCCCCATCATCCCCACCATCAGCAACGGCAGCAATGGCACCAGTGGCAACAGCACCCGCTGGCCTCGTCGCGGTGGCATACGACCGCGCTCTGCTCTCCCCATATGTTCCGGAGGAGGTGATGGTCGGAACGCCTGCTGTCGCTGACAACGAAGATGTTGTCGTTGCGCCGGTTGCCGGTGGCGGCGGCGGTGGTGGCGGTGTTGTTGCGTGTGTTGCTGTGTTACCAACGGCTGCCTCTGCAGGTGTGGTGCCGTGTCGACTCCCACCCTGCCTTGACCGCCCACTGCCGGGGGCAAAGCCGCGGCCCCTAACGCTCGTGGACGCTGGGTAGTTGCGGTCGTGGTCACCTTCGACAGACCCCAACCGGCTGTCCTTGCTTCGACCACTTCTGCCACCATCGGTGCTGCCGTTCCCGTTGCCGTTGCCGTTGCTGTTGCCGCTGCTGCTGGTGCTGCTGCTGTTGGCTTGTGCACGGCGCGACGCCTTGGGGCTCCCGCTGCCTTTCTTGACAATGCTGGAGATGTTGCGGAGAGAGGCGCGGATGAGGCGGCTGCGGCTGTTCGTGCGCGAGCGAGCCTTGTCGCTGTCTGGCGAGGTGGACGACACAGCGCTGCTCTTGTCGCTGCTGCCGCTGCCACTTCGCATGGCGGACACCACGTCGACGCTGCCGCGCGACGTTGGGGAGTGAAGCTTGTGCGCATGGTGCAATGATGACGGGCATGTTGGATCACTGCCATGCCTGTCCGTGGGCGGCTGACCGCGACGCGGTGATGTGGGGACGGACACAGCCACGCGCTTGCTGCGGCCGTTGGCATTGCTGCTGCTGCTGCCGCTGTGGGACTCTCCGGTGTCGTTGTCGTCGCCTTCATCATCGTTGTTGTCGTCTTCGTCCGTCAGCGCCTCTCTCGCAGAGAAGTACGGTGGGGACAGGCAGTCGACATCATCCTCGGAGTTGGCGCTGGATGGGTTTGAGCGGGCATGCTGTGGTGTACGACCTTCCCAGAAGCATGTGTCGATGTTGTTGGTTCCACCGCAATCGGTACACGCGCAACAGCCGACTGACGTGTCCATGCCTGTGCGTCAACTACACACACAAATACACAGACGTGTGTGTAGATGTGCGTGTGTATGTGTGTTCGTGTGGATGTGTGTATGCGTGTGTTTGTGTGTCGATGGTGAGTATGAACGTCAACATGCAACAAAAGGAGGCTGTGTGAATGTGTGTCTGTGTGTGCGTGCGTGTGTGTGCGTGTTGGTGTGAGAGCATAGAAGCAAGGCGCACAAGCAGTGGCTGTGATATCAACCCAAGTACATCATCGACACAGCACATGTCCGCACCTGGAGCACCAATTCTTCAACGTGGTGCGTCGACGGCCACACAGATGAACTGCCAGCCTTTGTGGCGGGCAGGTGCAACGAAGCGTAGCCAGGCAAGCAAGAGAGGTCACACAGACCAGCCGTGCTCCACTCGACACAAAAGCAAACAAGCCAGAAGCAGATAGAGAGAGAGTGTGTGTGTGAGTGTGTGAGAGTGAGAGAGCAAAGCTGGGGAGAAAGCGTGGCTTTGCGGCTTTGTCGTATCTGTTCTGCACTTCCGTCGTCTTTGCGAATGTGCGTGGAAAATGTTGCGTTTTGTCTCTCTTTTTTTTGGGCAGATGTTTTGAAGAAACGTGGTGCTGGTGGTGGTGCTGAATGTTGTTGTTGTTGTTGTTGTTGTTGTTGTTGTTGTTGTTGTTGTTGTTGTTGTTGTTGTTGTTGTTGTTGTTGTTGTTGTTGGTGGTGGTGGTGGTGGTGGTGTGGTGTGAAGGTGAACTCGTTCATTTCATGTCAACTCATTCGAACTCGTTTATCACAGTAACATGACCCTTAGAAGGTCGACAGATACACGGGGAGAGAGAGACAGGAGTGTGTGCGTGTGGAGAGGGTGGGAAGAGAGGGGCGACAGCTGCCTCATTCCTTGAGCCAGGTGAGGATGCGGGGTGTGAAGTAAGTGATGATGAGCGTTGCACCAGCCCGCCGAAACGATGTCATGCTCTCAAGCACTCCCTCCCTGCACGTGTGTGTGTGTGTGTGTGTGGATGTGTGTGAATGGCATGCATGCTGCAACCACAATAACGTGGACTTGCAAGCAGCAAGCGGACTGTGACAAACAACAAACAAATCGACAAACACATCGACAGGCAAATCGACAGGCAATCGACACAACCAACACCAAGCAAACAGCAGCCCAGCAACGAGCATCACATCATCAAAGCATCGCGTGCAGTGTAGTCCAGGTCACCTGAGGTCGACGGCGCCGGCCTGGGCAGCGTGGTACAGCATGGCGTACTCCCCTGACACCTGATACACCGACAGCGGCAGGTGCGGAAACTGCGACACCCCCCCCCGGTTGCAACGTCGACACGGACGCAAGAATAACGCAACAACAGATGGGAGTTGTGCGTGTGAGCGTGTGTGAATGAGCATGTGTGCGTGTGTGTGCGTGTGTGTGTGTGTGTGTGTGTGGTGTGTGTGTGTGGTG